TATCTATCTATCTATCTATCTATCTATCTATCTATCTATCTATCTATCTATCTATCTATCTAGGGTCTCACTATATTGCTCAGGTTGGCCTGAAGCTCATTATGTAGCTAAGTCTGATCTCACCCTCAAGTGGCAGCTTTTTTTCCTCCCTTATTCTACCACCTCTTCCAAGTGCTAGGATTACAGGCATTGACGCTTGAGCAAACACAGCAGCTTTTGAAAAGTTATCTCACAGAAAAGCACTTAATATTAACATCTAACTCCAGACACAAAACATGATTCCACAAACAATCGCAGTGGTTACTCCAACTTTTATATGATAGCAAGGGTAAATAGTAGTCCACTTACCCCTGTGAGCAGCTTGCAGACCACCACCTGACTTAAAAATAGATTAGTGCCTGTAATTCTAGCACTCAGGGAGGCAGAGGCAGGTGGGTCTCTGTGAGTTCAAGGCCAACCTGGTCTACCAGGTAGGTCCAGGACAGCCAAGGCTACACAGAGAAAGCCTGTCTTGAAAAAAAAATATGGTGGGTAAGAATATAGCTTATTGGCAGAACATTTCTCTACCAATGTCTGGACCCCTAATTTTGATCCAAGACCCTAAGAAAGAAACCATACACACCATGTCCCATGAACACCCTTGGGGAGAAACTATATTCCATGCCCTCTTCTTTGTCTTGTCTCTCCTTTTGAACTGAAAACACTGTGATGATGCTAGCTGGAGGAGAGAGAAGGAAAACAGAAAATCCACCATGTTCCCAACTTTTGTTTGAGGAACTAAAATGAAAACATATGCCACCTTGATTATGGGAAAATTACCATGAATGTCTGAGAAATAATGCTCAGACATCAGGCACAAGATAATACACTCATCAGGCTCAGTAAATTCCTCATTACCATATAAATTGTTTTCAAGTCTGATCTAATAGGATATGATTAATAATTGGGATTTGTTCTCTTCCAAGGAGCTGAACGACTGGAGGAAACCCAATAGAATTCTGAAGTCCCTTCCTAAATCCATCAAGTGTTTCTTTTTTTTTTTTCTTTTGTTTTGTATAAACAAAAATATTGTGCCAGTGTGCAGGGTCCTAGTGGTTGCTGAGTGAGCAGGGTGACCGTGGCTGTGGCATGGCATTTGCTTACCCCAGGACGTGCGGGTGCATCTCCTCACATATGGCTTTACGATTTTTTAAAAATTGAAAAAAAAAAATCACAGCTGCTCAGGGGCAGGACGTCTGCCTGCATTTTGTCTTCTGGTTGGAACTGTTACTAGCGTGCAAGGATTCCTGAGGCTGCTTCCCAGTCCTCCTTGCTTCCTTTCTTGAGAGGCTCAAGCTGCTTCTGGTATAAGTTTAATGCAACCTGAATTGTTCATACAAATCTGGACAGGGAAACACTGGGCTTATACTAAAGGCAATGTGCAGGGGAGCAAGGTTTCCTTGATGAGGTTTTCCACACTCAGAGCCTTCCAGAAGGCGGGGAAAGATGAGCATGTCAAGGGAGATCCCACTAGCAAAGCAAGTCTTTGGATTGGAGTCTCGGGCTGGAGAGATGGCTCAGCAGATGGCTGCTCTTCTAAAGAACCGGGGTTCAAATCCAAGCACCCACATGGCAATTCATAGATGTCTGTAATTCCAGTCTTAGGAGATCTGACACCCTCACACAGACATACATGGAGGCAAAACATCAACGTAAATAAAATAAAATAACAATAATAATAAAAACCTGAAAACATAGTACACTCAAGGCCAGCTAACACAATTATGGGCTTTCCAATCTCTGCCAAGAGCAGGTAGCAGCTTTGAATTCCACAAGCCATTGTGCAACACACACACACACACACACAGAGAACAACAACATGTGACATTGTCATCAGATCGTGGTGGGGCACGCCTGTAATCCCAGCACTCAGGGAGGCAGAGGCAGGTGGATTACTGTGAGTTCAAGGCCAGCCTGGTCTACAAATGAAGTTCAGGACAGCCAAGGCTACACAGAGAAACCACGTCTCAAAAAAAAACTATAACAACCAAACAACTGAACAAAAACCAAAGTATGACACTGTCATACCCACCAAGGCCCTCATCAGCTAGAAGTATAAAAATGACACCCCATCTGCTCTGCAAACGTCAGCAAGCTCCTGCCACCGGTTGAGGGGTTGTGGGGTGGTGGAGAATGGATGCTCTTAACACAGGTTTGAATTTTTATGCAAACAAAGAGTCACTTCATTCAGTGTCCCCCTCGCCAGAAATCCTCGGAATACTTTTGCTGTGGTACTTGGTACCCAGAAGAACACAGGCTTCGTTTACATCCCAGGCCCCGGGAACAACTGACAGCTTTGGGTCTGTGAGGGTTCTCCATGTACATTCACGATCGAATGTGAAGGAAAATCATAAAGCAGATGGGCATCATTCTGAGTGCAAATGTGTTTTTCAGGCTGAATCCTACGACACCAGAGTGGGCGGAGAGAAGATTATATCAGCTTCTCCCCAGAGATTTGGACAGGAGGAAATCGTGTTAGAATCAGGATGCCACATCTGCTTCCCAAGGTCTCCATCACGGGGTCTGCCGACATAGTTTCCATCTCACAAGATCTCAGCCCAACTTTGGGGTCTGGCTCCCTTGGGCTCTCCTTCCTCCCAATTATCCTTTTGAGGGCTGGGATTACATCATGTGCCCCCACACCTGCTTTATGTAGTTCCTGGGGGCGGCGTGGGGATACTGAACCCACAGCTTCCCCTGTACTAGGCAAGCTCTCCACTCTCTGAGCACCTTCCCGGATCCCGGGTTCTCCCCACTCCCCTCAGTGTGTGTGTGTGTGTGTGTGTGTGTGTGTGTGCGTGTGTGTGTGTGTCATTTAATACATTGCTTTCCTATTTCACTGCTTATCCCACTTCGTCTCTGCCTGGTGACATTTCTACTTGTCCATCAAGATGCAATCAGATGTCACTTTCCCATCCAGCCACACTACCTGTATCTCTTCCTTCCTCTGCTTTCCCTTCCTCTCTCCTCCCCTCCCCTCCCCCTCCCCTCCCTACTGTAGCAACCTGCAAAACCCACTCCCTAGACACTAAACACAGTGCTTTTGAATTTTTAGTTTGTCTCATTGTCTTTCAGGCTTGAGCTGCTCCAGTGCAGGAACTACAAACTACAATGGCTTCCCCCACTCCTCCTGTTATTACCTAACATAATGCCTGGACACTAAAAAATGTTCAAAATATACGAGTCGACTCTTCCAGAGTTCTTACTTTATTTGGTGTACTGCTCTATACGTGCTCATACAGAACCCATCTCTCAAGGGCATTAGCATTGACTTCTGTGGAGGGCACATTTTTTGAAAGCCTGGCACAGAGCTAATAGGGATTTCACTCATATTGCTTCGTGGTCTCTATCATTAATTCTCAGAGCACGCCTTTTTTCCCTGCTGCCACTACTTTCCCACGACTTTAAGATGAGAAACTAGACATTTAGGAAGCTGGGGTTGGGGAGTGTAGCCCAGTTGTCAGATTGCCTAATGTTCATGATGTTCTGGGTTCCAGACCCAGCAACGTGCAACCCTCAGCATGGTGAACAATACTTGTTAAAAATACTAATACTCAGAGGTAGAGTCAGGAAGATCAGAAGTTCAAGGTCACTTCCTCCGCTACATAGCAAGAATGAGCTTTGTCTACATGAGACATTGTTTCCAAATATAAACAAAACACTAAGTATGGTGAAGAAACTAACCACAAATGTTTCTGGCCCTTTGCTTAGCTTTGGACCACAGGCACTGTTTCCAAATGACGTCTGACAGTAACTAGGTGCTGTCTATAGCAGCACTTCAGCAGACATCTATTTTTTTTCAAATGCAATTTATTCATTTTTATCCTTTAGAGTGCCATGGGTCAAACTCAGGCATCTTCTCTAGCAATGAGACCAATGAGCTGTACCTATCCAGGTCTCCCCCCACCCCAGAGCAGAGGACCGAAGCCAGGGCCTTGTGCTTTCTAGGCAAGCGCTCCACCACTGAGCTAAATCCCCACCCCCACCTATCCAGTTCTAAGTCTGGCTACGGAGTTAAAATTTGCATGCTGCAAAACTCTTTCACAGTACAGTGCAGTAAGTTTCACAATATGCAGCCAGCACCTCAATCAAGATAGAGGGCATTCCATCACCCCATTGAACTGCCTCTGCTGTTTAGCGGTCAGCTTCTCCTCCTACCCCCAAACGCTAGAAAACACTGATCAGATTTGGGGTTTTACTGTTCTCCCTTTCCCAAAATGTTTTTTGCACAGAGTCACCCGGCATGTAAGCCTTTGGCATCTGGAAGCTTTCACTTGTCATGGGATGTCCTGCTGAGTTACTGAGTGTATTGACGAGTGCACTATGCTCCTTTTATAACTGCCTCGATGGCCACTGTAAGGATTACTACAGTCAATGCAGTCTTGTATAAAAAGAGCAAATGCAGTATAAACAAGCATGGGTGGGTTTTATATGGACATAGGTTTTTCTTTCATTTGGGTGACTATGTAGTGGTGTGATTGGAAGGTCATGTGGTCTCTCCTCAGCAACAGAATACCAAGACGCCTTAGTCACCATTGTTTTCTGTGCCACCAGGAACTATGTCCCCTGAACCAGGAGTCAAAATTAACCTCTGTTCCGGTACTTCACTTCTTTGAGACATTTTGTCACAGCGATGAGAGAAGTAGCTGATACAATGTATTTCTTTTCTTTTCTAACTACACTCCCGAAACGTTTGTGTAAAAGGCAGACTTGAAACCAGGTTTCTCTGGTTCTAGAGTCTGGGTGCTT